TTCAAAAATATTTTCAGTTTTTAAATTAATAAAAATAATTATAAATAAGAAAATTTGTAGGAAATACTACTCATAAAAAATAAATAAATTACTTGCGAATTTATATTTAAAACAAAATTTGTAGGAAAATAAAAAAATTCTTGCAAATTTTTTTAGAAATTTTTATTTGCAACAAAAAATTCATATAATTAATATTTTGTAGTAAAATTTGTAAGAATTTTCTGCAAATTTAAAATTACAAAAATATTTGTAATAATTTATTGGAGATTTATATTTACAAGAATTTTTGCAACAATTTCCTACAAATATTTTTTCGCATGAAAATCCTTAGGTAAATGGCATATTTCTAGTAGTGGAAGACTATTACAATTCAAAAATAATTAACATGAGACCAAACACAAGAAGTAAACGTACATAAACATAAAATTTTAGTCTAATAATTTTGATGTCACATCCTATCACAGCTTAACTCATTAAGACTTTAAGACTTAAGTCTCGTCATCATCATCTGAAGTATCCTCACTTGTAAAACACATAAAAAAACACAAAAAAAAGGAGTGAGAAGCGTCTCACTCTACGGATCAAAATCTTCTGTCTCCAATTCCTGTCCTCAAACCCTGTCCCCCCAATCATAAATTGCCACGTCATTGCATTTATTTTATTTTTTTATTTTTTAAAAAGTGGAAGGTGGAGGTTTCCCGGAGGAGGGGGTACTCGACGAAGATTCAAGGGACGGAGAGGAAGAGGAGGCAGCAGGGGGCGACGTAGTAGAGGGAGGTGATGGGGTTGAGGGAGATCACCTTGGGGGTTAGCAGGATCTGGATCATGACGAGGCGGGTGGCCTCGAAGGCCACGACGCCCAGCTGGAGGAGGACGCCCCAGGCATCCAAGCGGGCCTCCCCGTAGGCCGCCACGGCCACCCCGAGCGAGATGGAGAGCATGTACACCATGGAGTGGAGTTGTTGTAGGGGTCCTTCTTGAGGAGCACCGCGATGGAGTAGACGACTAGGGGCATCAGGGCTTTCAGCATCTGGATGAAGGAGACGGAGAGGTAGATGTAGGCGTAGTTAGAGAGTCAGAGGGAGAGGGAGTAGAGGGCGCCGATGGGGACCACCGAGGAGAGGTACACCTCCCTCGACATGGCCACCGGCTCCACCAGCCAGAGCACGTGCACCAGGAGCACCGCCAGAGAGGCGCAGATCGACCACCAGGTTACACTTTTTAAAATTAAAAATAAAAAATAAATGTAATGACGTGGCAGTTTATGATTGGGGGGACAGGATTTGGGAACAGGAATTGGAGACAGAAGATTTTGATCCCTCACTCTACCTACCAATGAGATAGAGTCAGACAACCACAAACAAACAAACAACATATATATAGAGAGAGATAGAAAAACATAATAACTCATGTTCTACACTAAATTTCAACGATTTAACCGTTAAATTTAAAGTTCTTAATACATAAATCAAATTTACAAATTTATATATATATATAGAGAGAGAGAGAGAGAGAGGTGAGATCCATATACTCTAAGAATAAGTTTTGATAAACTTGCTCAACTCAATAACTCATTCTATATTAAATTTCAATGATCTAACTATAAAATTAAAAAATTTTAATGTATAAATCAAATTTGAAAATGTTTAAAGAATTTGCAAATCATTTAACCTCAAGCGTGTGGTTCAGCGGTAGGGGTTGATCCACGCTTAAGCAAGGTCAGGGGTTCGAATCCTGCCTTGTGTATGCAGCCGCGTTAAATCTTGGGGCCAGCTATCCCACCCTTTGAGGTGCCTCCAACGTAGCGAGGAGATTAGTCACTACTGTCGGCGGTGGATACTCCAGGAACGAACCTAAAATAAAAAAAAAAAGAATTTGCAAATCATTTAATATTTCATTTTGTTAATTCAAATTTATTTTTATAATATTTAATTATATAAATTTTTTTACACATTTATAGAGTAAAAGAAAATTTATATCTTTAAAAATGAGATCCTAGACGATTGGCCGATCGCCTACCTTCATCGAGCCATGGCGCCATTGTCCATATCCAACATTCTTTTCATAACTCGTAAGAACTATATCGCTTACCAAATATATGGTAATAATACGATAAAAAAAATTAAAAAAATTGGAAAATAACACAGTTGAGCTGAATTTATTAACATTATTGATGACACTCAAAGGAAATCGTAATTCCAAAACAATGTAACATAGTACATATGCAGTTATACATCTGCTTCTCCACAGTAAACTTTTCTCCTTGAAACCCAACCCAGCTCCGCTTCACTCTCCCTCAGGGACGCCATAATTGTAGCCTCTTGGTGGTTGTGGCTCCAGAAGGTGGCGTCCATCTAGAAGGTTAATTCCCAAACGACATTGAAATTTGGAACTCAATAATCAGTAACCAATATAAAACATTCAAAAAGAATAAATAATGAATTTAAACCTTAAATTCTAAATCCTAAATCACTTATTCTCAATTTGGTTACATCGGAAATATTAATTAGTTCAATTTTAATTAAAGAGTTGATGATTTAGTGAAAGGATGTTAGTTAGGTGACTTACGTGTGTAGTGAGGCTCTGATATCCAAAGGGGCTGTCTTGCTATTGCGAGATTCATTGATAAGAGAATCACAAATAGCAAAACCATGTTTAAGACAAGATTCTTAAAGCAACCCATCTTAAATGGAAAATAAAAATATAGAAAGCCAAAGACGGTATATAACTATATATATTTAGAGCATAGATTGCTCTGCACTGTGAGAATTGAATGAAGAGTAGAGTAGAACACATACATATATATACAACATAAACACCGACATATCGCTCTCAGACTTTAATGATAATAATTAACATGTCCACGGAAATTACGCGTCTTTCTTTTTTATTTATTTTTTTTTTCTTCCTTTTTAGTGAGTTGAGTACGAAACCTCCAATACAGCAAAAAAAAAAACGAAACAAAAAAAAAAAGAGAATGTCCTCTCCAATTTGGCCAAGTAGCTTAAAAAAAGTGACATCAAATAACAATTAAGTGAGCTCCGGGAGTCTTTTCGTTGAAATTCGATAATAGTGTGTTTGGATAGATAATTTAAATGAGTAATTCATTTATTTGAAGAATTTTAAATTGTTTGAGGTGAAATAACTTGTTTGGATGGAGAATTTGTAAAGAAATTGAAATTCAAACATCTGTGAGATTTCTTGAAATAGTATAATTTCAAATTCGATCTCCCAAAAAGGTAAGAATTTGAAATTTCTCATATTTTTTTCTTTTTATTTCACTTATATATTTTATCTTATCTCTTATCTCTTCATATTTTTAATTATTGAATATTTAAAAATATTTTTAAAATTATTAAATATTATCTAATATTAATTTTTAAAATGATTAAATATTTAAAAATTAGCTAATATTTATTTTTATAAATTTTAATTTAAAAATCTCAACATATAAATATATTTTTTAAATCAATTTTACTATGATGGGATCAAATTATCATATCTAATTGACTTATCCAAACAAAATATTTTAAGAATGATATAAATTGAAATTAAAGTAATTCAAATACCAAGAATTTAAAATTCCTTAAATTTGTAAAATTTCTCATCCAAACACACCATAAATGATTTTTTTATATATATTTTAACTCAAATATATTTTTAAGAAGACTAAAATTGTAGCGTAGCAAGTTTCAGAAGGCCCAAAGCCCATTGTGGGTAATTTAGTAGTCCAGAATGGGCTATTCCCAAACTGGAACGGACCGTTCCAAACTACTAAATAGGCCTATAAATTTTAGACTGAAACGGGTCGTTTCAAAATGGTCATTGTGAGTTAAAATTCAACTCCAGAACGGGTCGTTCTGGTTTAAGAACGAGTCGTTCTAGACGTGCCAAAACGAGTCGTTCTCCATGTAAATTTTACACATGATGAAGGAGCCTAGAACGGGCCGTTCTGGATTCAAAACGGGCCGTTCTGGCCACTTCAAACTTTTATAAATAGGACTTGTGTGCAGTTGAGGAGAAAGAGAGGTTTTAGAGAGAAGTTCCAGAGAGAAGGACTCTGGACTAGAAAGCTTGTTTTTGGAGGATTGAAGTTCAAGAGTCAAGGTTTGGAAGATATTTCTTCTTCTCAGATTCTTGGCTTTTAGAGCCAATCTTCATGTAAAGGAAGCTAGAATGTATGTTGTTTGGTCATATGTGAGTTTAGGAACTCATATGGAGTAAGAATGTTGAGAATCATTGATTGATTTGAGGACTTTCTCATTTTTCGAGATTTTGGGAAAAATGGGGTTTTTGAAGATTCTGATGCATGGTTGATTTCATGTTGAATTTGAGGTTATTTTTGAGTTGTATGGAGTTGTACAATTACATTGAGATTTATGATGAGTAGAAAGTGAAATGAAGAGATGCATGTTGAGTATAGTGTTGTAAACTAAATGAGTAGTTTTGCCAAATAGAAATGTGTTGAATATGTGATATATTATTAAAGTTGCTATATGTTATGTGTTGACATTTATATGTTGTGAAATATGATGAGATGATATAATTGAAAGTTGTGAAGTGCATGATGATAATATTGTGAGTTGTGAGAAGAATGATTGAAGTGTGTAGATGTGTGAGATTTATATAGATGTTATTAGTAGACTGTGTTGTTAAGTTGTTAGATGAAAGTTGTATGTTTCTATAAAGTTGTATGTTGTGCCATGTGTTGAAAAGATATTACTTTATGATGATTGAGTTGTAAATTATGAGTTGACTGTGTTGTTTAAAGTTAAAATGAGTCGATCATTGAGCTAATGAGATGATAACCATGTTGTTTAAGTTGAAAGTTGATTGAGATGATGAGTTGAAAAGTTGTATGTTGTTTAAGTTGTTGAGTTGAGCTGTGCTGTTGAGTTGTAAGCTGATTAAGCTGTGATGATGAGTTGTTGATCACTAGGACTAGGGGAGATATTTACGAAGTTGTTCATCCCATTGTGTGGATTGAGATAGTTGTGGTGCTCTAAGAGCCCAATTTGTTGAAAAACCCTCCTTGGGAAGTTGTCCCTTGGAGTGGACGTTGTGTTGTTCTCCTCTAGGACTTAGTTGATCCTTGTGTGAGCAAGGTCAAGGCACACGTGTACAAAGCGACCACGGTATAGGGACCAGGTCGAGCTATACCGATTACAAGCGACCAATTTGAGTAAAGTACGAAGTTGGGAAATTAGTTCCTAACCAAGTATCGGAGGGTTTTACTATTTGGAGGATAGTCAGTAGGCTAATCCCATAGGTGGCTTAGTTGAGCTAGCTAATGCTGTGGTAGGCATAAACCCAGTTGTTCTATCCTGACATAATACTATACTTCTTTGTTTAAGTGGTGAAGTCTAAGAAACCATTATCGTGTTGTGGATTGATATCCAAATTTGTTGTTTACCTAGCAAGCCCAAAAAGGTTTTGTGTTTTCGGTTCGGTAGGACCTAGCCACTTAGACTACTCACCCATGTTGTAGGAGATCGCTGAGTTGAAATGCGTGACGACGCATAAGTTGTTGATGAGTTGATTTGTTGTTGATACGAGTTGTATATATATTGTTGTGTTGTTAAGCTGTGATTGTATTGTATGTTGACCCTGTTGAGGATGATGATAGTGTTGTTATGATGTAAGTTGCTTTTAAACATGTGTTGTTGAGAGATGTGTAATATATGTGTTAGTTGTTGTTATGATGAATATGGTAACTATTTCAAATGGTTTGTATAGTAGTTATGTTGAAGTATTGATCAGTGTTGATATGTTGAATATAAGTTGAAATGATGTTAAGATGTATAGTATATGTGTTGTTTGTCTTCTGTGTTAGATGTGAAGGTGATTATATAGTTGTTGTGTTTCATATTTAATTATTATGAGTTGTTTATTGTCTCTAGCTTATCCTTGCATGTTTCCATGTAGTTTGGACTGTGATGATCATACGTTGTATAGGAAAACTTCTATCATTATAATCTATCATTATTATGTTTATAATCTATCGTTATTATGAAAACTTCTTCAATAACATTAATTTTGATAATAATTAGATATTGTATGAACAAATCAATTAACGATATCATATCAAAATTCAGTAGGTAAGAAAAAGAAAAAGAAAAAAAAAAAAAAAAAAAAGAACCACAACTTGATTAAAAGAAAAGAAAAATGGTACAAAGAACATACACAACGTACTCAAAACCATAAGCCATTTAGAGAGACATGCAGTTTAATTGGTACACCGAGAATTTTGTGTAAAAATGTTTTCTGGCCTTTACTAATGAACTTGTTTCGAGTATATAATAAAGAAAAATAATTACAATAGACACTTGGTCACATACATATTCAAACAACTATTCTAAGAAACTTATAATAACCAACACTAACCACTTTGGAGATTTTTATTCAATTGAAAATGAAGTCTTTTGAGATATAACTTATCACTTCAATCTACATTTATCTTTAAATCATATAATTTGTCACTTCAATCTATATTTTTATTTAGATATGTGACATTTTAAATATTATTTTTTATTGTAACTATTAATATGAAATAAACAATATTTTTTATGTTAGAATTTTTTGATATTTTAAATTTATATATTTTAATTTATTGGGTGGTGTTAGTTCTTAAAAATAATAACCTAGATTTAATTAAAATAATATTTTTCAATTTCTAAATCACTTAAATATAAATTATTTAAAGTAGTAATAATGTTTCAATTGAAATTTTAGTTTGAAACTTTGAATTATATTTCATAGTTCAAAATAAAAGCACCAAAATATTTTGATCGAGTTATTCTATTGATTTCAGCGTTCACATTTAAGAAAGGAAAACATTCTTTTGTCTTGTGCGTATTATATGTGGGGATAAGATTTTAGTTTTTTCATAGTTTCTATATCAACGAATAGATAGTTAAATATATAAATATATAAATATATAAATATATAAATATATAGAGGGAGATGAGCAGCAAGTAAAAAATTATATATATATATATATATATATATATATGAA